AGGCTGTAGAGGACCTTGTCCAGGTGGGTCTTGAATATCTCCAGAGAAGGAGACTCCACAACCTCCCTGGGCAGCCTGTTCCAGTGCTCCGTCACCCTCAGAGGGAAGAAGTTCTTCCTCATGTTCAGACGGAACTTCCTGTGCTTCAGTTTGTGCCCATTGCCCCTTGTCCTGTCACTGGGCACCACTGAAAAGAGCTTGTCCCCATCCTCCTGACACCCACCCTTCAGATATTTGTAGGCATTTATAAGGTCCCCTCGCAGCCTTCTCTTCTTCAGGCTGAACAAGCCCAGTTCCCTCAACCTCTCCTCGTAGGGGAGATGCTCCAGTCCCCTCACCATCCTCGTAGCCCTCCGCTGGACTCTCTCCAGTAGCTCTTCATCTTTCTTGAACTGAGGAGCTCAGCGGGGGCAAAGGCCAGCCCTGGTGAAGCATCTGCACTAAAGCAAGAGCAGCAGCGCTGACGGCACCGGCTGCAGTGTTCGTCGTTAGCCCTGGCTGTTCTTTATTGCTTATGTCCCAGCTGCTCCTCACCAGCCACCTTCTCTTATTTAAGCTCTCCTGTTTGAAAGCACTGTTTGGTTTTTGCCGTTTTCTTTGGGTTTTTTCCCCAGGGAGACAGAAGTAAAAACTACATCCATCAGCTTGGTTTAGCACTCACCCACCACGGAGACTGAACAGCAAAGGCCAAAAGCAGCAGCGCCCAGGCTGCAGGCAGGGCGAGGAAGAGGAGGAAAGCTGCTCACCCCAGCAGTCACACACAGCAGATACGCGGTCTCGGGAGAAGTTTGCCAACAGAGCAGAAGAGGGCTTGCAGAAAAGCACAGTCACTTCGTGGTGACTCAGGTAAGGATCTAGCTGTCTAGCTAGCGTTTCCAGAACACGTCGTCAGCCCAGCTCCCCCATGGGGTTGTACCAGGAGAAGACGACTGCTCCCGCGGGATGAGGGTGCAGAGCCTGACAGGCACCACGCCGCAGTCCTGCTCGCAGGGTCCCGCTGCCCGGTGTGAACTTACGTCTAGATCCATCCCAAGGAACGAGCCAGAGGTGAACGGGAGGCTGGCCAGCTGGTAGTGAATGGTTCCTGCCGCACCGACCGGGATCACAGCTTCACGGAGATAAAAATATTGTTACAACATCAGGACAGCAGCAGCAACACGAACCCCCCCGACCCCGCAAGCCCCCCGCCAGACCTCACACCCACAACCAGTTCCCAAGCGTTCAGTGCTGTGGGATGCTTGCTGCTGCTCAAAACAGCCAAAACACCCCCACAGAATCACAGAATCACAGAATCACAGAATAGTAGGGGTTGGAAGGGACCTCTGTGGGTCATCTAGTCCAACCCCCCTGCCGAAGCAG